AGGCTACAAAGGCAAGAAGTGACTGGCTTACAAGCTTTCAAGAGGAAGCCTAGTTCCAGAGTGTGTGGGGGAAGGTAGAATCCCCACTGAGTGGTTTCCAATCTGCCTGAACGAAGAAAGGAGATGGGAATAAGACCCTTGTGGTTCAATAGCAAATAATTGTTATCAGGACTGACTGTGAGTGTTGCAAATGTAAAGGTAGACGTTTTGTAACAAAAGGAGGGGAGTGGTATCTTGTAGTCCAGGAGCGGAGGACCCTGGGACCACCAAGTGAGAACAGCAGAGTGCGGGGCCCTACCTAGAGAAGGAAGAAATGGAGGCAAAGATAATGACATGGAGAGATGGAGTGACTGGAGAGTCTGGACTCAGGGAGGGAGAGGGGCTATGTGCTGAGATAGGCAGGTTTGCAGGGTGTGTCCTTTGGTTGGTTGATGAAGCATGGAGGGAATTGTAATCATAGCAATGAAAGGAAATAGGATAGGATGAATGTAACACTAATGTTTTCCCGTGTAAACTATCACATAATTCACAATAAAGACTTTTTTTTAAAGTATTTTGTTGGTAGAAAGGATTTTCTGGACAATAGTGTTCCTCTTGCTGCCACCATGAGTGTCTGTTACAGAAGGAATGAGGAAACAATGCCATCTGAGTTGGCAGAATTTGGGTTGAGACCCCGTGGTGGCCTGACAACTTGTTTGCATTGGCTGCGGCTGCCACCTAGTGGTCCTTCTGAGGCATTGGCCAGCTAACTAGCAAATTTCCCTAGGTCTGCATTAGTTTTCTTGGAGCTAACCCAAGCGACCTCATGTGTCAGAGTAGAACTGCGCTACGTAGGGTTCTCCATAACTGGTTTTTGGGAAATAGGTTTCTTCCTAGGCGCCTCTGTGTGGACTCTACCCTCCAATCTTTCTTGCTGTTGCTGTTGTTGTTGTTGTTATGTGCTGTGGAGTCGGTTCCGACTCATGGCGACCCTGTACAGGGTTTCTGAGGCTGTAAATCTTTACGGGAGCAGAAAGCCTCATCTTTCTCCCGCGGAACAGCTGGTAGTTTCAAACTGCTGACCTTGTGGTTCACAGCCCGTAACCACTACTCTACCAGAGCTCCTTAAAGATTCCTGGTAATAACTATCATTTGCTGAGCATGTTGTATGGGGCTGGCACTGCAGAAGTCATCACCTCATTGTTGTTGTGAAGTGCCCTCGAGTCGGTTCCGACCCATAGCGACCCTGTATAAGGTTTCCAAGGAGTGACTGGTGAGCTTGAACCGCCAACCTTGCAGTTCAAATGGCTTTGAAGTCTGGCGCATTAACATACAGCGCCACACCAGGATGGGGAGAGGCAAAGTCACCTTTGTGCAGGCCTAGTTGAAGCAGATGAGGCCAGGTGACTGGACCAGTGTTGTGAAGTGCTGTTGAGTTTCTTTCAACTCATAGCAACCCAGTACACGGTTCTAAAGAGCAACTGGTTGGTTTGAATCACCAACCTGTGTTTAGCAGTCCAGTGTTGACCCTACAGCACCACACCAGGACTCCAATGAAGATCTTTAAATATGGAGTTTGGCCATTATTGTCCAGCAAGGCAATATGTACAACTGTAGTGATATACTAAGGGAGAAAAATTGGTGGTATCCATCTTTAACTTGGATCTGTTACTGGGTCACAACACCTACATGAATGAATTCTATAATAGCCTTATGACTATTGTATCTTGTGGTATAATACTAGTATTTTAAATTCTTTTTTGGTGTTAAGAACACTGATTTGCCAAGAAAATATATTTAAAATTGTTAGTCTTTGTTATTTCTTCATTTGGGAGTTTAAATAAAAAGGATCCGGACCTCCAGGGGATGACTACAAAGAACATGAAGAGCCAAGTACAGACTTTTTCTGTCCTTCTTTCCTTTCTGAGTGATTTTTTTAAAAACAGACTATTTATTAGAGCCATTTTAGACTGACAGAAAAATTGTGTAAAAGTACAGAAACTTCTTATACCTCCCCTACCTACCACCCAGTTTCCCTATTATTAATATATTTCATTGACTTCATGTATTTGTGATGATTGATAAACTAATATTAATAAGTTATTATTCACTTCATTTCATAGTTTTAGTTAGGATTCACTTTGGGCTGCATATTACAATTGACAAATGCAGGAGTCATTTGTCCAGTATCATGCAGAATAGTTTTACATTCTGCCCCTGAGTCCCCAGCAACTGCTGGTCTTTTTATTAAGGTTTTTTGTTTCTGTCACCGACTCAGATGAATGCTGGACTGTGACATTCTGCAGCAGTGTGCACTCTACCAGTTCTGTGCATGGACAAAGTATAGGAGATGCTCAGTGGAAGAGCCCTGAGTTGTAAACTCCCTCTTTCTGGACACCAAGTGGAAAAGATAAAGACTTACAGAAAAGAAATACAAAATGTGGTCAGCAGAAGATTCCTTTCAAAGACAAAAAGGAGAATTAGGACTTGAATGATTCTAAGCTCTGGTAGCATAGTGGTTACGAATTGGGCTGCGAACCGTAAGGTCAGCAGTTCGAAACTACCAGCAGTTCCGTGGGAGAAAGATGAGGCGTTCTGCTCCCGTAAAGATTAACAGCCTCGGAAACCCTGTGCAGGGTCACTATGAGTCGGAACTGACTCCACGGCACATAACAACAACAACAACAAAGTCTCCAGGGAGGTGGTGTAGTCGTTAAAGTTTTGAGTCCACCCAGAGGCACCTGGGAAGAAAGTCCTGGTGATCGACATCCGAAAAATCAGCCATTGAAGACTCTATGAAACAGAATTCTATTCTGACATATAAGAGATCGCCATGCCCCAGAATCGACACAACAGCTGTTGGATGCTAACATATTGGCAAAGTTTGTGCTAATAAAATGTTGCCAACTCCTCTTGTTGTTTCTCTGTACAAAAATCTCCCTATGCTAAAAAAAAGTCATGCTACTTCAATATATAAAAGGGCTTCTAAACGTTTGTGGAAAGACAGAATTCAAAGGCAATGAATGGAATTTTCCCACAAACCTCCTGAAGCTTCCCCCCCCCCATGTTATTTGATGTAACAAATCAATGAGCAGGTGGTCGTAGTAATGAGTAATAAGCAGAAAGTTTGCATAATTTGAGTCTGTCTTGGAGTGGTTTGCTCTTTCCTTGAAACAAGTCAAGAGCGCCTTGATCACAGCTTATATGATAGAAATTTCCAATGCAACTTAGCTCAGAGGCATAATTTTACCTGTTGGGCCTTTCCCCTCTCCAACTTTTTATTAAGAAAAATGTTAAACACACAGAACATTTGACAGATCATCTGTTCACCACCTAGATTTTTACTTACTGAGGTATAAGTATATATGTGTATGTAACAAAACAGTTTGGGCAAATATGTCTGCGCTCCAGTTTCTTGTCCAAACACCTGGAGTGTGTGCTACACTCCACCTGCAGAGCCAGCTCCCCAAGTCCCCGCTGCCCCTCGTGCCCCCAGGACTCACAAGTTGGCCAGGCCAGCCTTCCGAACGGCTGAGGAGATGGCCTTGATGGCTGTCAGCATGGAGTTGAGCAGCTGGGTGAGTTCCCCTGTACCTTTGGCCTGACGTCCCTTTTCCATCACATAGCGGGTCAGGGTGAGCATGTCTGTTTCGAAGGGGCTTCTGTCTGTCATTGTGGCAGGTAATATCCAATCTGTGATCACTGCAGGAAACCTTGTTTATCTGTAAGTGTTGTGGCTCCTTGGTATGAGAGCTGAGGAGAAATGCATGCTAGCCATGAGAGGACCTTTAAGAAAAAGTGCCTGCCCCACGTGGTTGAATCACTGGACAAGCGCTCCAGAAATCTCTGGCATCTCTGATTGTGGGGACTGCCAAGGTTCCCTGAGCATTCTGTATATAGAACAGCTCTGTCCAGAGACAGAAACCAATCTTCTCTTGAAAGAGCCTAAGAAGCAACCATGTTGCAACAGATAGGAGATGAGAAAGCCAATTCATTTAAATAATCATGAAGATCTTCAAGGACTCAAAAGAATGATCCACATGGTTCTACAGCAGAATGTAATCCTCTTGGCGTGGCAGGCAGATGCAGCTGATAACTTGTCTGGTCCTTAGGTCACATAGTGAAATAACAGTAGTCCTGGGGTCTCTTGGCCAGGGCTTTTCCAAGTAAGTTTAAAAGAATGTTTCATTGTTTGTTCAGGCAGCATGTATTATTTTCATAATAGATATTCAAATCTGGAAGAAAGCAGTTCTGCTCTACCTTTAAGCTATCTGTTTCTTGAGATTTTCACTTTTGTAACAAAGATCATACTTGCTTGTTTATTTTTTAATA